CTGACCATTTATTCCTCCCCCTGGTTTCCTGTCTTGTAACCAGTTCCCAGTTATTGCTACGGCACGGCACGCTCTGAGCTGTGCCAGACAATGAGGCGGCCAGGGAAAGGACCAGGCCTGTAAGTAAGACCAAGCGCTAGATACGGGTATCGAGACACCTACCTCCCATTGGTTTCTAGGGGAGGCAGGCACTCGGTACCTCAGACTGGGGGGGCAGAGAGGACGGAGGCGTGAGTTGCTCTGAGGGAGCAGAGGGGAAGCCATGGCGAGCTGGGGCAGGGAAGAGGTTCCAAGCGGAGGTACAGGTTTGGGAAATAGGAAGGAGGCCTCGGCTGCAGGAATGGAAGGCTGGCTGAAGGCAGCTGGGAGTGAAGCAGCGCCGAGGGCAAAGCATAATGCGGACATGGATGTGTTTAAGTCTCACTGACTGCAGACGCCCAGCCTGCTGCCCCGGGGTGGGACACAGGTTTAGTGTCGACTCCAGAGCGCAGAGCGCCCAGGCCTTGCGGCACAGCATCTGTCCTGGGGTCACAGCCGGATGGTTACCTTAGTGGGGAGGCTTCCTGTCCTGCCTGGGCCCACCCTGGGCCGGGTGTTGCAGTGGCCGAGTTCCTGCAAGAACGCTGGGCCGGGCTACGAACGGGAGTGAGGAAGCAAAAGGCTTTTTAAAAATAACATCTAAGGGGGAGGGAGAGAACAAGGTAGGAAGGGGAACAAATTACAGGGCTGAAGTACGAGATGCCAACTTCACTTCAGCTCCAGCTCGAGAAGAATGTCAGTAATGAGCAATCAGGTAGCAGAGAAGGAGGTGAGCAGCCACAGACCTGTTCCAGAGCAAGGAGGGAATATTTGGAGGGTGGGGAGCCTGCTCAAAAACCAGCTGGCTTCAAAGGAACCCGCTCGGGAACACGGCAGGAAGCAACTCGGAGCCGTCACCAACTGCTCCCAGAGGGCAGGAGAGGCCACTGGTGCGGGTGACTGGACACTGGCTCAGAGGAGCCCTAGAGGAGCAGGGCGCTGGGTGCCCCCCACACAAACACTCACAGCTCTCCTGGGCAGGCCTCTAACCAATCCAAACAGCCTGGCTCAAAGGAACCCGCTCGGGAACACGGCAGGAAGCAACTCGGAGCCGTCACCAACTGCTCCCAGAGGGCAGGAGAGGCCACTGGTGCGGGTGACTGGACACTGGCTCAGAGGAGCCCTAGAGGAGCAGGGCGCTGGGTGCCCCCCACACAAACACTCACAGCTCTCCTGGGCAGGCCTCTAACCAATCCAAACAGCCTGGCTCGCGAACTTCGAGGGGGGGGGGTTGTTGTGCACAACTCCGAGCGCAGGTTTCTAAAAGCAGCTCCAGCAAATCTATTTTAATCTCACTCTGACAAGCTACCCGGTGACATGGAGGAGGGGGAGAGTTTGCGCTGGCACTTTGCACAGGGCCGCGTGGCTGTCACAGGGAAACGGGAGAGATGCAGGCTAGCTAAGACTGGACAGGCCGAGCTCTGGGCCATCAGGAAATGGCAGAGCATTAGGCTGGGCAATTACAACCACTGGATTCCTTCCTTTGCCAGAGCAGGACGCTAATGTCTGTCACAAACATGCTGGAGGAGGGGCTGGAAAATACATTGCTCCCTAGCCCAGGTCACCTGCAACTTCGATCGAATTCCACAAGACCATGCGGCGCCCGGCGCTTCAGGCAGAGCTGGACAAAGGGTGGCGCGAGGATGATCAATGCAGGGCGAGCCACAGAGGAAAGAGGAGGCCAGCGTGGCTCAACAGGGTAGTGGCATGGGGGGGGGAGGGGTAAAGGCGCTGGGACAGTGGAGCACAGGGAAGCTGCAAGACTAGGAAATTAACCCCATCAGCCCCCTTTGTTTTAATAGCCAATGGGAGACAATGGGGGGGGGGGGAAAGGGGGGGGGAAAGCTGGAGAAGCAGCAGCCAAGGAGACACCCTGGTGTAATCAAAGAGCTGCAGGGCATGGCCTTTGCTTGCACATTTACCTGGGTACCACTGTGAGGCCCAGGGCCTCAGGGAAAGGCCGTGCAGGGAAACGGAGGCTGCGGGAGCATCACAGGAGAGGGGGGAAATCCCACAAAAACGTTAAGATACAAAGTAACAGATCTCACTGAAAAGCACTCAGGCCAGCCCAAGCAGACGTCACTGCCCTGGACAGGCAGATGACACACTGTGGTCTGGCCAGAACAGCTGAGAGACCGGGTGAAGTCAGACCTTTTATCGGACCCACTTCTGCCGGGGAGAGACACGAGAATTTGCGCTTTCCCGCTTCATCTCCTGGACCCCCTGGGGCCAAGCTGGCTCCAGCGATGCTGCCTCTAACTAGGAGCTACTGTTGGTTCTTGTCCCGGCACCTGAGAGATGGACAGCCTGAGAGCAGGGAACGACTGTGGTGAGCTGAGTGGCCCAGACCCAGCTCTCTGCCTGGGCCTCCACTGCTGTGTGCTCAGCTCTCACCTCGCTGCACCCCTGTGGGGTCTCACTGCTGCTGTGCAGCGAGCCAGCAGCGATGCTGCCTCTAACTAGGAGCTACTGTTGGTTCTTGTCCCGGCACCTGAGAGATGGACAGCCTGAGAGCAGGGAACGACTGTGGTGAGCTGAGTGGCCCAGACCCAGCTCTCTGCCTGGGCCTCCACTGCTGTGTGCTCAGCTCTCACCTCGCTGCACCCCTGTGGGGTCTCACTGCTGCTGTGCAGCGAGCCAGCACTCTGCTGAGCTCAGCATCTCCTGCGCCCTTCCCCACGA